TTCACCACGTACCCCCTGGGGCCCACCGAGCCCCTGTCAGCCACCGTAAGGAATCTCAGCATGCCTTGTAAAATAGGCCCAACACCTGTGGGTCGTGGTGATGTTTACTGGCTTCTGGGGAGTCCCCATAGTGAGCTGTGAGGGGCCACGGGGGGAGGGGGCAGTGGCGCCCTGTGGGCGGGGACCACTCAGGGGTCTGCCTGCTTGTCCTGCAGGCCCTTCGCCCTCAACGACCTGGACGACTACGAAAAACACTTCACTGTCATGAACTACGACCCAGAAGTGGTGCTGAAGCAGGTAGGGGCCCGGCGGGGCCCGGGTATAGATGTCAGGCTTCCATAGGGAGCCCATCTTGGTCCTTCCTGGAGGAGCCTCAGCCGACTGCCAGCTTGTCGGGTGTGTTTTGGGTAAAACCTCAGCCCTCAGGCCCTGTGAGCTGGTGAGCTGTGAGCTCAGGCCTGAGCCCTGCAGACACGGGTCCCAGGTCTGCCCCAGTGCACTATTCTGACATAGGCGTGGTCATGTGTCAGTCCTGACGTCACAGCCTGCCGAGCTCTCGGCATTCACTGTCTCATTTGAGACTCACAGTGGCCCTGCAGAGTAAGTTTGCTGGGCACGGAGCATCGTCCCATTTCATAGATGAAGACAGTGAGGCCCCAAGAAGTAAATCTGAGATCCAGAGCTCAGACCCAGTCTCCTGCCTCCCATTTGTGCCCCCAGGGGGTGGGTTAGGTAGGCTGCTGGCACTGACCTGTGACCCCAGCGAGTGTCAGAGGCCCAGGTCAAGGCAGGGGGAGGGTGACGGGCTGTGTCTGTCACAGGTGCACTATGACGAGTTCATTCCTGAGTTTGAGAAGCAATACCCAGAATTCCCCTGGAAGAGCGTCCAGGTGAGTCCTGAGCAAAGCTGGAGGGGCCAGGGCCTCTGTTGTGGGCTGGCACTGGGGAGGCTGCCTCTTCTGGATGGTCCTGCTCCTCCCACTGCAGCCAGTGAAGGAGACTCTGTAAGGTGTTGTGGAGGGCTTCTTGGAGACGGTGACCTGGAGGGGTACTCAGGGGACCCTTGGGACAGCCAGGCAGCCACAGGCCCTACCTGTCCCAGGAATTGCAAACCTAAGGAGACAACGGGGACACCACTGGAGATGCAGACAGCCTCCACATCCTGAAGTGGGTGTTTCAGGGACTCTGCACACCTTGGTACAGGGGGGAGCCGAGGGGGCTCCAAGGCAGGAGACAGACATGCAGATGCCAGGAGTGAGAGGAGCAGGTGTCAGGCAGAGGTGGCTATGGCCAGGTCTAGAGACACGAAGGATGTACGAGGTGACGACTCAGGCCTTTTGGGGGCTGGGGCCTAGAAAAGTGCAGCAAACTCCACACTTAGAGGCTGCTCTGGGGGGGCTGGTCCCCACGTCAGAGCTGTGCAGGCCCCTGACCTGACCTGTCCTGGTCCCTAGGCTGAGATCTTCCAGGCCTTCACCGAGCTGTTCCAGGCGGCCTGTGCTAAGCCACCACCCATGGGCCTTTGCAACTACCCCTCATCCCGGGCCGTGTATGCCATCGACCTCATGCTGAAGTGGGACAGCCGTCCAGATGGTGAGGGGGCTCCCTATAATACAAACCCCCCTTATCCAAAGCAAATTGTCCAACCCTCTGCCCCCCAGGGGGCAGAGAGGGCACTGTGGGTCGCACTGCTGGGTTGTCCTTTGCCTCCAGTTGGCCGGGAGATCCAGGTCTGGGGGAACCCACCATTAGGGGATGACAGCCCGCAGGACAGCACAGAAGCATGGGGGTCAGGGGCCCACCTCTTGCTGAGCCTGCACTTCTGCTTCCCCTGGTTGACTAAACTAGCGGCTGAGCTGGAGATGGTGGCTCAGGAGAGTCCTGGGGCCGAGGCCCTCCAGTCTTTCCCCGGGAGGAGCAGGCTTTGGCCAGGCCCCTGATGAGTCGGGAGACCCACATTCAGACCCCCGGCCCCAGGAGTGAGACGCCCTGTGTTCTGTGCCATCAGGGAAGCGAGTGATGCAGCCACAGATCCTGGAGGTGAACTTCAACCCGGACTGCGAGCGAGCCTGCAGGTACCATCCAACCTTCTTCAACGACATCTTCAGCACCTTGTACCTGGACGAGCCCAGCAACTGCCACGTCACCCGCCTGGTCTAGGCACTCCCTGCCCTCCTGCTCCTGCTGGTGGCGGAGTCCAGCCTCGGTCTCTGAGTGTCTTCTGCAAGGTCCCCTCCTCCTCCCTCTCTCCAGGCACAGGCAGGCCAGGTCCCAGCTCCACACCCTGGGCACAGGGTCCTCCTCCCCTGTCGATCAGGAGCATGGCCAGTCACTGTCTGCAGGCTGAGCCAGGCCACTGTCCAGTCTCCTCTCCCCCGCCTGTGCCGTGATTGCTCTCAGCCCAGGGCTTCATTGCTGAGAGTTTGGTTCCTGGGCTGCCGTGTTTCCTAGGATGTTAGTGGAAGAGGGGTCTGGGGAGTATGACGAGGTGGCCTCAGAAACGAGATCCCCCAGGAAGGCCTGTGGGAGCCCAAATGTTAGCAGGGCCCGGCTGGCTGTTGTCCAGAGTCTGCTCATGCATCCTGGTCCCCCAGAGTGGGGGTCAGGCTCCCACATTCCTCCCCAAGGGTCCCATGTGACAGGCATCCCCGGAACACTTTGGGGAACCTGTTTGCCAGACCCAACCTTCTCACCTCAGCTCCCCCGGAACCGTCACCAGCAAACCTGTGACTCCAGGGCAGGAAGGCCACCGCCTTCTGTTGCCGGTGCCTTGCCGTCTAGCGAGGGCCAGCCTGTCCTCTGGTCCCTGTGGTCCCAGCAGCCTCTCTAGCACTACAGGGGTTCTACCCTCATCTTGGGTTGAGAAGTGCTTTGGTGAGGGACCTGGGGCGAGGGGACCCGCATGGGCATTAGAGCACCTGGCAGTGGGCAGCTTTGAAAGACAATCCCACTGAGAACTTCATGATAGCCAAATGCCATCTTCCACGAAGTCTAGGGTCAAAACGTTGGATTATTGTTACTCTTTCATTTATGGGAAGAAAATATAAAATTCTTGTTGTTAATGTCGTTTCTGAAATTTGGAGCCAGACGCCAGCAATTTGTGTAGCCGCAGTGTGCCCAGGCCCAGCTCGCAGGGCGGCAGGCGGGGAGGGGGAGCTGCCTGCTGAGCTTTGTTGTGTGTCTGTGTGTGTGTATGTTGAGGGTCGGGGGTGCTTGTTTCATTCTGAAGCCAAGAGCAATCCTTGTAGCAAAACTGGACCAGACTGTGCCTCCCGTCTGTGGGTGTCTGTCAGTCCTCTCCGGTGACAGGAGCCTCAGCCCTTCCCTCCAGCCAGGTGGAGGTGCAGTGGGTAGGACACCCCGTCTCTGGTTTCCCCTGGGGAAGAGCTGCTGGCGTCCCGTCCTCTTGACTGGATGTGTACCACAATAAAGTGTTCCTTCTGTACCTGGCCTCCCTGTCTATGAGGGCCCGGGGACCACAGGCCCCGCATGCTCTGCCAGGTCCTTTCCTCCTGGTGGTTAAAGAAAACGACACTGTCGCCCTCGCCAGCTTGGCTCAGTGGTTAGAGCGTCTGCCTGTGGACTGAAGGGTCCCGGGTTCGATTCTGGCCAAGGGCATGTTCCTCCTTTACAGGCTCGGCCCTGGTCCAAACATGTGCAGGAGGCAACCAATTGATGTGTCTCTCACATCAATGTTTCTCCCTCTCTAAACGAAAAACTGGAAGGCAGAGGCCCTCGCACACCCAGGCCGCCGACCACATGCACCTTCTCGCAGGACCTGCCCTACAGGGGGCCTTCTGGTGGCCCCAGGATGGTGCTTACACCGGGTTAATCCTCCAGGTGCCACAGGGATTGTCCTCCTCACTCCCAGTTCACTTGAAACCTGATTGTCCAGGATACTCCGTGGGCCACAGTCACTGGGATCAGAGGACCCATGATCCCTGGATTATAAACATGCTTTCCCCAATCTTGCACCTCTGATCAGTGAGAATCAGACAACCGCCCGAAGAAGGCTACCATGCAGGTCCTCCACCACCTGGAGGACCAGACCGCTCATTGCCATGGAGACGATTCTTACCCTCTAAATACATCTCTCTGGCCCCGCCGGTATGGCTC